CAATCCCAGCAGACCACTTCGTGTAGACATTGATAAGTTGACTGTAAAATTTTTATGAAGATGCAAAGGAACTAGAGTGGTCAAAACAGTCTTTAAAAAGAAGAAATTGCAATTACATTCCATTTCATTCCCACAGCTAAAATTAAAAAGACTAATACTACCAAATGCTGGCAACAATATGGAGCAATTGGAACACACTTTGCTTGAATGAATGTAAACTGTTAAAACCTCTTTGGAAAACAGTTTGGCTGGGTTGTTGGGTTTTTTAAAAATATGTTTTTATTGATTTTTTGGAGAAAGAGATAGAAACATCAATGTGAGAGAGAAACATTGATCAGCTGCCTCCTATACAACCTCTACTGGAGATCAAGCCCGAAACCCTGCATGTGTCTCGACCAGGAATCGAACCGGGACCTCTCAGTCTATAGGACAACACTCAATCCACTGAGCCACACCAACCAGGCTAGTTGTTTTTTGTGTGTTTTTTAAAATAAAATTAAACAACCCAATTAAAAATGGGTAAAATTCTTGGACAGACACTTCACAAAAGAAGTATAAGAATGGCAGGTAAGCACATCAGATAGGTATACAAAAAGATGCTCAACATCATTAGTCAACAGGGAAGTACAAATTAAAATCACAGTCAGAGAGCATTTCACACCCAATGCAATGGCTAAAATAAAAAGACTGACAACACCAAATGTTAGCAAGGGTGTAGAGCATTCGTGCATACTTTCCTGGTGGAAGCATAAAACAGTAAACCACTTTTTTAAAGTTTTGGCTTTTAAAAAAAATAAAGTTAAACATACACCATAACCTAACAATTCTACTCCTAGGGATTTGTCCAAGGGAAATAAAAACATATGTTCACAGAAAGACATATACAAGAATATTCACAGAAGTTTTACTCATAAAGCCCAAAACTAGAAACAACCCAAATAATTATCCACAGATCAATGAATAAAATTGTGGTTATTTATACAGTGGAATAATACCCAGTAACAAAAACAAATAATACTGATACACATGTAACAACATGAACACATCTCTAAAATTGTGTAAAGTGAAAGAAACTATACACAAAAGGTAATCATACTATATGATTTTACTTATATGAAGTTCAAGAATCGGTAAAACTGATCTATGATGATAGAAATGAGAACAGTGGCTGCTTAGCAGTAGGAACTTTCTGGGAAGTGATGAAAATGTTCATGCATTTATCAAAAGTCATCAAATTGTACATTTAGGATTGGTGCATTTCAGTGTATGTAAATTTTACCTCAGTAAAAAAAAAAAAAAAAAAAAGATGTTTATAGCAAAGTTATTAATAATTTAAAATTAGAATTGTATTGCACCCAAATACCACAGCCACTAAAAATGACACTATAAAAAGCTATGTATTGACAAGGAAAATGTTCATGACAACTTTTATGAAAAAGAAAATTATCAAACAACAAATACATTACAACTGACCTGCACAGGAAATGGTCCGGAGGCATTTCACCTAAGTGAGACTTGATGTGAACCTAAAAGGCTGATTTCACTTTTTCTATACTGAACTTGTACTTGCTTTTGTAATAAGAAAAAAATCTTTCTAGATATATAAATATAGTTATAGATTTGTAGATACAGTTAGTTTTTGTTATTCATGATAGTTATGTTCTATAAATATACCTGGGAACTCTGAATTAGCAAATACTGAACCATTGTTTCTAAGGGAAATACAGGGTTAGGTTCCTATGAGCGTCACATTTTCATCAGCTAATTGATCAATATGTAACCCTGTTTTATGTGTACTTCTATTTAAAGACACCTTATTGAGCATATACTGTTGATTCATTAACATTGAACTCACAGCCAACAGTAGTATAACCAATGCCTGAACACAGCTTATTTATCACATGTATTTCCTCCCTGAGGCACATCATCGCCTTTTTGCACTTAAGCACACTAGACAGCACTGTGCTTGGGAACATTTTACAATGGGATCGCCCCCAAAAGAAGCATAAAAATGCAAAAAAAAACTCATGGCATTAAGCAGACCATGAAAGGACACTCATTTGTAGGAAGACAGTTGAAATAAGAAGGCAGGGTTTTGCCTTGTTCAACCACAGCTGGGAGCATGCAAGTTGGGCAACTCAAAGTTTTTTGCCTCTGTGCATATTTATGAATGACCATGAAAATCCTGCTAGTGTTGATTTGAGAGTTACAAACAAGCTTCAGCAAGGAGGTCAATTCACAAACACAGAATTAGCAAATAATCAGGATTGACCATATAGAGACATATCTGTGAAGGAAAGTATCCCCAAGCCTTTGGCCTGCACTCCTGGGGCTTCCAGGGAGGAAGGAGAGGAGGCTGATAGGAAGGAGGACCTGGAGAGACAATGAAGGGAGGAAGCAGGTCCAGAGGAAGGCCACCTGGGAGGCTGGAGCCACCTACCTCTAGGCAGTCACAAAGCCAAAGTCATTAGACGGGACAGACCTGAGCGCTTGGAAGGAAGACCAGACACAGTGAAGAAAAACACGCTTCTGGGGACCTCATCTGAACCAAAGCAAAGCCCACTGAGGAGAGCACCTCTGACCTGCAGGCTTTCTAGAGAGGCAGCAATGGGAATGGTTGGAAATAATTGTTCCAGGACCTTCCACAACATCTTAGGAATGTTCTTAAAATCACAGGCACCACCTTGATTTCACCTTCTGTCTTCATTGCTTCATTTTCAGGAATGTAAAATGTTTACAAAGGCTTTCAGGAGCCAGCCCCAAACTCAGCCCAGGCCTGGCACTCCGAGGAATCCTCACCTGCACAGGACGCTCGTGCTCACAGCCGGCAAGGGGCCACTTGATCCGAAGGCTCTCTGAAACAGGCACTCCTCATCCCACAGCCTCTGTGCTTTGTCCACTCAGTCTGCAAGGAGGACTACCCTTTACCGAGACATAACCTTACCCAAAAGGAGGTCTGGCCTTTGTACTTGGCTCTTGGGAAGTTATCGCTAAACCCTTGGAATGACCTGCCTAATAAGAGTGTCTTTGTTTACCTGGGACCTAGGGCCATTCCAGACAGTCTATGCTAACAATGCAATATTTAGGGGTATCTCTGGGCCACATGGTGTGAGCCTGACCTCCAAAGGAGCTGTAACAGCTCAGTCAAATGGGCTACCATGTATACATGACCGAGTCCCACCAAGAACTCTGGCTCGGGGAGTTTCCCTAGTGGGCAATACTCCGTGTATATTGTCACATGTCATTGCTGGGAGAGATTAGTGTTGTCTATACTTCCCCTGGGAGGGGCAACTAGAAGCTCTGAGTGTGGACCCTTCCTGGACTCTGTCCCCTGAGTGTAAATGGTTTCCTTTCACTGTAATAAACCATAAATGTGAGTAAACAGCTGTTGAGTTCCATAGTTCTTCTAGTGAATTATGAAGCCTGAGGGTTGTCTTGGGGTCTCCCAATCTGCATATGTATCAGTTTCTCAAATTCTCTTTTGCATCAGCTGGTTCCCTCGCCGAATTCAATAGAACACATGCTCACTATCTACTGTGTGAGAATTATGGCTAGGCCTGACTTCACGAGATGGAGCCCAATGCTGATCACTGAAAGCACCTAGTCAGTTACTTATGGGTAAATCAGTCACTTCCCCCGAAGCCCCTGCCCCCAGCCCTTGCAGAATCTAGACAGCCAGTCTGCTCTGTTCCACTGGGAAGACCAGGGTCCTCTCACAGCCATGGTGCTGACAGAAAAGGCAGCTGCAAATCCTGACTCTGGGGACCTCAGACCTCAGCAAGGGACCTGGTGTGAACTGTGGTCATTCGACACATAGAGTACAGGTTCTTGCTACCCACACCTCTGCTGGGGTGGCCTCCCCTAACCCTCTCACCCCTGAGCTCCCTCCTGCTCTTCCCCAAGGAAAGGCCCATGGCAACCCCGAGGCTGCCCACCCTCCATTCTCAGAATCAGGCAGCTCCTAAATGAGGAAGGGTGACACCACTGGATCCTTTTACATCCCAGCCCCTTCCTTCAGCTCAGCGCTGGGTCGCAGGCCCATTGAAACATCAGCGTCATCATCATTTCTGCTGTTTCTGTTGTTATGTGATTATTTGTAACCAAAAGCATTTTAGGCAGTTTATAACAAAAACATCTACATAATTTACAGCTTATTGTAACATTTATTATAATCGAACATATTGTAAAAGTGTATACGTAACAAAAATCAGTAAATGAGATTATAAGAAAGATGAAGAAATAATTTTGTCAGAAAGTCAAAGTTGAGGAAGCTCCTATTTCCAAATACGAAACTGACTCCTCAGCCTTCGGACTCACCAGCTGTGCTGGGAACAAGGCAGGCTGCACACCTGTGCATCAGGCAGAACCTGCTTCCCCGGCTGTGAGCACGGCGGGGGTTTGCTGTTGGCCACCTCCGACTTCCACCTGAGTGCAGCTGTCTGGCCCCATTGGGCTCCAGACTGAGCTGATCCTACCTGGGGCTTGGACAGAAGGCCAAGCTCTGGGCCCAGTCTCCTGTCCTCCCTCTGGGCAGCAGCAGGGCAAAAGGGCATGGACAGCGGGTGAGACCTTCCTTCTGCTGCCACCCACCAGGTCCACCTGCCTCATTCTAGACGTGGCTCTAGGGCTGGTGGGCCCTCATCTGCACTTGCTCAGAGCCCAAACTTCCAGCTCCGTCTGCCCCAGTTTCTGGGTGAATTGAAGCCAGAGCAAAAGAAATAGGCTGTGAGTCGAATCCCCTCCCCTGTATTGGCGCTCATGGGTCTCCTCCATTCTCCACCCCACCAATGCACACAGGGACCCCCATCTCAGTGCCATGGGCAGGGTGGCAGCCTCACCCCAGTTTGGCCAGTCCAGAGCATTTGGTTCTGAGGTGTTGGGAAAAGGAGAAAAAGAATGTGGAGGAAGGAACAGAGATCAGCTCACAGGAAGAGGGCATCGGGAGAAGCATTCAGGACCTGAGAGCCCAGCCCCCCACCTCTGTGTCCCAGTAGACTCACCCTCATCACAGTTGCTCCCAGTAAAGCCAGGGCAGCACCTCCACTCCAGCGCCGTCACCGTTCGGTAGGACACTCTGTATGTGGGTCTGATCAGAGTCCTGTAACTAACACAAGGGCAGCATCAGGACAGTGTGAGAGCCCAACTGCCCACCCCCAGACCCAATTCCTGCAGAGCCAGCCCCGCTCAGGGCTCTGAGAGCTGCCCAGCCATGGATCCTGTGGCCCCAGCTCTGTGCCACTGGCCATGTGGCCCTGGGCAAGTGACCATCCCTCTCAGTGCCAAGTGTGTTCTAAAGTGCCTTCCAGCTCTGCCTTCCTGAAAGTCTCCAAGAGTGACCACCTAGGTGGGAAAATGTCCTGCACACTGAGTGTTATGGCCTGAACTGTGTACCCCAGAATTTGTATGCTGAAGCCCTAACCCCACACACACTGAGGAAAGGCCACGTGGGGACACAGAAGACAGCTGCCTGAGAAAATAAAGTTCTGTTGTTCAAGCCACCCCATCTGTGATATTCTGTTACAGCAGTTCAAGGTAAGACATTGACCAAAATAATGAGTAAGGACAAGAAAAATATCATTAGAACCTGTGCAATTTCCAACCACCCGCAAGTCACTGAACTCCAACCTTTTTCCCAAACATGATTTCCTTTTGTTGACTCATCCAATGAATGCTTTTTGAGTGCCAACTACATGCTATACCGTGGAGAGACACTTCAGTGAAAACTTAACAATCCAGTAGCGGGAATCCCACAGCCATAAAATGCTCCACAAATTGCTGTCGGGTCCATAGTAAAATTTCAAAGTCCTATAGCTTCAATTTTTTTTCTTACAAGTAAGTTTGATACTTATTTTGCATCAAACTTATTTTGGAATTTGTGAAACTCCAAGAACAGTGAATATAACATATGTGACCAAATTGCGCTGGGGGATCAGCCTCGCTATTCACTGTCCGTGCGTCACTCTAACTCTGCTGCCTGATCAAGCTGGCACAGCTTCCTCTTGAAAGCAAAACTCCATGACTTCACAAAATCTGAATCTGCTGACACCAAGCAACTTAATCGGTGAATGGGAAAACTATGAATTAATTGGTAGCAGCAAGCGTGACATTTCAAGATGCACTGTTGACAGGAAAACGCACGAGTCACATCTTGAATTTCAGAAATACTGCGCCAAATCTGCAAAATCCTGTTACACTAATTTCTCTTTTTTTAAAAATCCTCTCACTCATGTTTCGTAAACATTCCAGCAAACCAGCTTTCCCCTAGAGAGCTAAGGAGGGTGTGGCTGTGTGCAGCCGGGGCAGGAACCTTCCAGTGAGGAGCCAGAAGTGTGCACAGAGAAATGCCCACAGCTGGGGCCTGGAGAGCAAACTCAGGCCTTTGACTTGAGATTCCCCACCCCCCAGGAAGCAACTGGCACAGGCCAAGGGGGATAGAGAGTGGCAGAGACACTGTGTCTCAATCCCCACTTCTCACAGCAGGTGGCCTGGTGAGACTTAGATGGGTTAATGAGCCTGGGTCCACAGAGTGTAAATACAGAGTGTGCATTATAAACACACTTTTACACTTACATACACATTCACTTGCACGCTCACTCACACCTCACATGCTTTCACACACCCACACACATGCTCACACACTCAACACTCACATGCACTCATCCACAGGCTCACACTCTCACACCGGCTTCCTGCTGCACACCTCCCAGCCTGGAGCAGGCTCAGCCAGGAGAGTGGAAAAGATTTAATTTAGATAAAAGATGCCAGTTTCATGGTGGTAATCATTTCACAATATATGTAAATCAAACCATCAGGCTGTAGACCTTAAACTTATATAGCGCTGTACATCAATTATTTTTCAATAAAACTAGAAAAAAAAACATGAATTACCTAGCAGAAAATTGTTTTAAAGATGCCAGTTTTTGCTCTGGCCGGTTTGGCTCAGCAGTTGGAACGTCAGCCCGTGGACCAAAGAGTTGAGGGTTCAATTCCAGTCAAGAGCACGTACTTTAGTTGCAGTTTGTCCCTGGCCCTGGTGGGGGTCCTGGGGGAGGCAACCAGTCAATGTGTCCCTCTCACGTTGATGTTTCTCTTTCTCTCCCTCCCTCTCCCTCCCTCCCACTCTATCTGAAGATAAATAGAAAAATATCCTCAGGTGAGGATTTAAAAAAAATGCCAGTTTTTAAATTAATTCCTGGAATGAACTTGTTGCTCTGGCTGAGAAAGATTAGAAAAGCTTCAGAATCCACCTATGTATGGCAGGAGGGTCAAGTCACTCATTGCTTTTGTGTCCTACCCAATGCATCTGATGTCATGAAAGGGACCCTCCCACAACCTCAGCACCATGGGGTAGATGAAACCTGGGCTTCAGGCTCTGCCTCCAGTGTACAACGCAGACTTGCACACCTACCTTAACCTCCCTGAGCCCATTTCCTGGTCTGCATGACGAGATCCCATGGAGACCAGAATGTGCTGTGTGAGGTTCCCTGGGAGGGCACATGTGTGAGGCAATGAGAGCAGAAAGGGGTGCACAGATCTGACCTCACTCCTCCCAGCCCACATCATTCGTCAGTCCCCACTGTGGACAGGAGAGTCTGGCCTGCTTAGCCACGTATGCAGGCCCTTCTCCAGCTCACACAGCTACCCTATAGCCCCGTGTGTCATAGACTGCCCCTTGGCCTCCAGCCCATGAGCCTTCCAAAACGCACCAGGCATTCTTCCGTCCACACCCTGAATGATGATGATGATAAAAATACTAACATGTGTAGGTATAACAAGAGCTTTGAGTGCTCACCATGTATCAGGTACCATTCATAATAACCCTAACAGATGGATTCTATTAGTGTTCCTAATGTACAGATGAGAAAACTGAGGCAGAGAAGTTAATAACTTTCTCAAGGTGGTGAAACTAGGACCCAAATGCAGGCGGAACTGGCAGAGCCTAGTAATACTAGTTTGTGTCCATTCCTTCCTACATCTGCACAAGGTACTGAGCTTGGGCCCCGAACCAAAAGGAGAGCTCCTCTTTCTGCCCCTCATTTTGAGACCATGGCGCTGACCTGTCCTGCTATGGGACCAAAAGGAATCAGATGGCCTGCAAAGTCCAGCAGTAGGGCACACCAGTAGGTGGCGCTGCTTCACCAGCCCAGAGGTCCAGGGCTCAGCATGGCTGACCCCTCCAGTCTTACCTGAAGGCCCAAGGCAGGTTCAGTGTTCACCGCCTCTCCCTCAATTTGGGCAAGAAGCTGGGGAGCTTTATCCTTTTACATCCATGAAGAACTCCCAGCCCTTCCGCTGGGGTCCAGTCTGCAAACCCAGGTCTTTCTAAAATGCAGATCCAGTTTTGTGACTGCTCTCTCTTAAAATGGCTCCCATAGACGAAAGACCAAACTCTTTAGGTCAGTAAATAAGGCCCTGCCTATCTCCCTACTACCACCAGCCAAGGCTCCTACCACCAGCACACAAGCTGCTTTCCCCCATGGGCCTTTGCATGTGAAGGCTGTTCTGCCTACCTGCTCTTCTCTTACTCTGCCTGAGAAAACTCCCAAGAGCTTTCAGGATGTAACTCAAATGTCCCCTCCTCCTCGGTGAAGCAACCCACCCCCCACCCCCTAAAACCCCTTCACTCCCCGCTGTCCCAGGCCAGAGATGACAGGCTCCCTCAGTCTTCCTGCAACACCTTGTACAGACCTTGGTTTTAACCCCACACTCATTCGTGCACTCACAGATACACACCAAGAGCCTGCTGTGTGCCAGGCTCTGGGAATACAAAAACGAAGAAGACACGGGCTTCGCTCTGTCAGAGCTAGAGCTTGTGGCACTAATCATGTATCACACGTGAGTGTATGACCACACACTGCGAGAGTGCTGTGAAGGAAAGCACTGGATTCTCTCCTCACATTATAATGGGATGTTTTTCTTGTGTTATTAAAATACAATTTACATACAGTAAAAGACAAATCTAATGTTTGGGTCAATGAATTTTAACACCAATAGTCCTATCACTCGAAAGTCCCCTTGTGTCCCCTTCATGTTGATCACCCAGCCCCCAGACACAACCACTCTTCTGACTTCTCTCACCAGAGATTAGTTTTGCCTGTTCTGAAATTTCATGTAAATGGAACCTAACAGCATGCACTTGTTTGTATCTGCCTTCTTTCACTTATTCATTATATCTGAGTTTCACCCCTGTTAAGTGTATCAGTATTTTGCTCCTTTCTATTGCTAAATAATATTCCATTATATAAACATACCCCAATTTGTCCATTCTCCTGTTGATGGATATTTGGGTTGTTTCTAGTCTTGAGCTATAATGGACAAAGATGCTATGAGCATTCTCATATAGTCTTGTAAACAAGTATTTTTATTTCTTCAGGTTAAATACCTAGGAATAGAATTGATGGGACATAGGATGGATATATATTAACTTTAATGGATGTTACAAACAAGTTTCCATGACCTGTTTGGATGAAACAGTCCACATACTAGCAGCAGTGTATGAGTTCCAGTTGCTCCATAACCTTGCCAACATTTGATATTGTCTGTCATTTTCATTTTAGTCATTCTAGGGTGTATGTAGTACTCCTTCGTTGTGGTTTCAATTTGCAAATTCTGTTCGCTAAATAAAGTCACACCTTTTCATGTTTGTCACTTGCATACCTTCTTATGAAGTGCCTGTTTGAGATTTTTGCCCACTTTTACATTGGATTTTATTTGTTTTTTTTCTTATTGATTTGTAAGATATATACAGGGTGGGGCAAATGTAGGTTTATAGTTATGAGTACACAAAACACAGAGTTTATTCTTGTATTATTATTTATTAATTATTTTTCCATATGAACAACTATAAACCTACTTTTGACCAACCCTGTATATTCTTTATAGGAGACCTTTGCAGATGTATGTATTACAAATGTTGTCTCCCAATCTGTGGCTTACCTTTTCATTTCTTAACGGTGCATTTATGATCATCAATTTTTTTTTATCCTCACCCGAGGACATTTTTCCATTTTTTTGTTCAGATAGAGTGGGAGGGAAAGAGAGGAAAGGAGAGAGAGAGAAACATCGACGTGAAAGGGACACATCAAGTGGTTGCCACCCACACGA